GGGTGAATGTACTACGCCTGCAATATTCAAATCCTTCAAAATGAATATAAGTAGGTAAAAAATCTCACTACTCTCCTTTAAGGCAAACAAAGGAGAAAAGCTACAGTAAGGTCAACCAACTATGTTCATCGATTTGCAAATAGTGTTTGAAAAACAAAATAGATTTCAAGATCCTCTCACCTGACAGCGTTTCTCCTTCCCCAGGGAAACACTCTATATTCAGTGAAGACTCACTGCTCAGTATGTACCAATTAACATGTTGGATTAAGGTGATCATGAGGTATTTCAGCAGGTCTGCTTGTCCAAGGTGAGATCTGACTGACAGTCCAGAAACCCACAGTATTTACTGTATCTCAAAGGAACCGCCGTCCAGATACAGACACACACCCCTACAACCAGGCCACACAGTATCAGACACAAAACTAATAAAAGCATTTAATCTGGTCAGCAGGGGTCAACAAGCAGACTTCTGACGGAAACAGTGATCAAAATGCAGTGTTTACCACGGACATGGTATTTAACGTAGCCTACATAGGTGTTTTACCACACAAACAGTAGAGTCTTGCCACGGACATGATGGTCGGAGTACGGACAAGCTGACAGACCCTGCTGATCAGGAAACCTCCGTACAGGAAGACCAGTCTAACCCGAGTGTGTCCTCCTAGAGTACAGACCATAAACCGTCCCCATCCGGCCTCACCACGGAGCCAGAGCCCAAAAAGCGATACCCCCTTGGGCCTGGCCTGGACACCGGTGTGGCCAGCAACCTGAAAGGTTCATTCCATCACAAAGTTATTACCCACCCCATTCATCAGGCGGGGGAGATTAAACCCACCGTTAGCCAAGGGAAACAGCTGCACCGCGCCCTGCCCGCCGATCAATACACGCCCCCCCAGCCCACCTCCGAAAAGTAATTATACAGCAGCCATGTTGACAATCGATAGCCCAGTCAGGTTAAGTTAAGGTCTGCCTTGGGGGGCATCCCCCCCCCCCCATGTCAGCTGACAATGTTGACACCTGCACCTTCGTTGGGCAACAAAAGGAACACCCCCCTTCTTAGGCTTGCTCTGCATTTAAATTGGTGGGGGGGGGGAGGTCACATGACACAATTAGCACTTCAGTTCTGGTGTGGGGGCACCATGACCTGGCGAGAAGCGCGCCCCCCACCTGGAGGAAAGCGCATGCACCTCCCAGACTCGTTATGGAGGCCGTCCCATAATTGGGGGTCAACATAAAGCTCAGAAATGGGTGAGAGGGTGTTGGTCAAAAAGTGAAACATTCTGGGGTCCAGGAAGCTGTCTGAGATTGAGGGACGTTCCGAATTCCTCCCCGCTGACAGGCCAGTGGACCTGTCACACTTCACCGTGCCTGAAACACCCATCACAGTATGTTACAGGCATCACACATCTTATATGACATCACACCGAAGTCACCGATTTGCACAAATGAGCCCCAAATGACCGCTCCAAACATGACTCCAGAAACGCATTTTTCTTAAACACATTCAAAAGGCTATGCATGACCCCCCTGTCAGGGCTGAACTTTATAATGCACTGGCAGGGGTTGGAGGTCAATGGGAGATGGGTGGGGGGGTGAGGCATGTCTTTGGTAAAAAAAAAAATCTGACATCCAATTTCAACTTGATTTATCAGTTTGAAGGTAAAATTGATAGGATGCCATTACCAGGCTGCACACTGTCCAGCAGAGCTGTATCAAAGCTTTTTTCATCTGGCTTTAGCGGCACAGATCAATACAACCCTATACTGTTTCAATTTGAGAAGTATTGATTTCCTGATGCCGGCTCAATACTGAGACGTTCATCATCAGGCGAGCATGAAATATGATGGCACGAGCGTCCATGGTGATGGCTCCCGTCACGCCCCGCCGGGTTCCACGCGGCTGCGCCAGGCTCCAGCTGTCCGCCATAGCATCCCGCGCCCGCTGCCGAATTAATATTACTATTCGTGTTTCCCAATCACATGACCAACGGGCATTTGCCAGGAAGTGGCCGGATCACATGACCTCAGGGGTACCACGTGCCTCATATCCTATATCCTACGGTTCTCCATACCAATGAGTGCAAAAACTCCCCGAGCTGAGAGTTGTGAGGACGGAGTGTAGCCTGACACCATTGTACTACCACTACCCTCTAAGCACAATGAGAGAAGGCCAATCCTCCGCACCTCCACCCCAGCCGGGCGACAGCAGATCACAGACCAAACAGAGCTTCAGACACCAGCATCGCAAAGTACAGCTCTACAGAAAGTTTTTCAAAATGTTGAATTAAAATATTCACATCATCAGTGTTCTGATAGCTATTCCTGGAACTCTGCACCTGGTTACACATCACCTGATAGCTCAATTCCTTCATTCCTTCTGATTGTTCTTTGTGTTTGTAACCATTTAATCTTCAGCAATTTTAAACGTAATCACCATCATTTTGATAGGCTGCATACCACACTAAATGGCATATGCAGTCAATCACACCTCACGCAGAGACAGCCGTAATGGATGACCGCTCCAGCATGCCTGCAAGGACTATTTATATATATTTTTATTTATATATGTTTTCCCCAAGCGGCATAAATGGAGGAGTTAATGTAGCATTGAATAAGGCTGCGGTGCTCGACTGTAACGGAGCCTCGAGCTGCGAGGAATATTGGGTCGTTTGTCTTTTGGGATGGTCCCCGCCTGCAGGAGCCCGGCATCCACACACACACACACACACACACACACCCCAGCCTGTGGTTGATAGCCTGCAGCACCTCACAGCATGGGGGGGGGGGTGTAAATGCGATTTGGCACCTGGCTAAGCTACCAAAAGATGAGCTCCCAGTGTTTTAACTGCTTTATAATCACCAGTGGTCACACCAGGGGGGCAAAGGAACAGCCCGGAAAGGTCCGCCACGGTCACCTACGGAGGAAGGAAAGCCTTAGCGGGCATGTGGCACCAACGGCTATGGCCTTGGTGGGCAAGTGTGATGGTGGGGGGGCGTGGGGGGGGTTTGGGATGCCGTTGTCTGCAAACTGGGCAGCTTGTAAAATCCAGGACCCAAATGTACTCACTGCATCTACACCTATTGTGCTAATTAGACAAAGATGATTCCCTCATTTCTAATTCATTCCAACTACTTTTCATTAATATTCTTTGCCACTGAATACATGAAACTAATCCTTTAAGGACCTACCCTGGGAACACACGGTTTTTAACTCAGCTGTGGGCAGATCAGCCGCAGCGCAGCAAGTCTGCAAAGACCACAGCTGTGCTTGCAGATAAAAGGCTGTCAACAGGCCATGATGACGGTCACAGTCATTACCTTCATGAACCTATCGCTCTGTTTTTATTACAGTGTAATATTAAATATTGGAATGTAATATTCAGTGGATGCCTAGTGCCCGCAACCTTCAAAAGTTTTTAATGCTAACTGTTTTAATTAAGAATTTAAAATGAATGAATAAATGAACAAATGAATGGGCTGGCATTCCCATATGGGGGGTCCCTTGCCTCATGCCTGGTGCATGCTTGGATATTCCACCACCGGCCCTGGATAAGTGATTATGAAAAATGGATGGATGGATGGATCGTGGGAGGGAGGAAATGAGGGAGTAATTAAGTTAGCACCATGACAATCAGCCAGAAACCAAAAAGAGTCATGATTACTGCAAAGCAACACATGCTTTTCTACACAAGTAAATAAGTGTAAATAGTGCCAATAACTATCTAACATGGGTTCTATAGTCTATAGTATAAGCATCACTGTTTGGCTAAGCGAGCGCTCTGCACACAGAGGAAGCTGCAGCACCGGCTGCTGCCCTGGACAATCTCTAGATTAAGCTGACAGATGAAATGTCAGGAAGTGAGAGCCACATTCAGAAGCTGGATTCCTGTAGCGTTTCGAAAGTGAAGGCCCCTCCCGTAGCTGCCCGCTGCTGAATGACGGCCTCGGCTCGCCAATCACTCTGCTTACGCTGAAAATATCAACATTTACCTCTGCATCTGACGGGGTCTCTCCTACCAAATCTGTACCGGCTGGGCTGGGCTGACTTAGCAAGGCCCAGGGGATGTTCAGACAGCATCCAGGTGCTCTGCCATCTTGGCCGCACAGCGGAGGGGCCTAAAGCTGACCCGGGATCTGGCCACAAGCTTGACAATCACACCAGCCAATCAGCAATCTCCCGGGGATTAAGGCGATCTGTGCCATAATTGAGTTTGCTGACCTGAAGCCTGACCCCAGTGAACGGCAAGAAAATTACATCCAACCGCTACTGTCACTCCTGCCATGCCAAGTGTGTGTGTGTGGTGGGGTGGGGGGTAGTGTTTAGTCTGCATCCTCAATGCTTGTAGCTCTCTGGGCTGGCAAACCACAGACTGGTCCCAGGGCCTTACCTCTGTGAGAGGGTCCCCCTGACTGGCCACGGGGCCTTATGTCTGTGACAGGGTCCCCCAGACCAGCCCCGGGCCCTTACCTCTGCGAGAGGGTCCCCCTGACCGGCCACGGGGCCTTATGTCTGTGACAGGGTCCCCCAGACCAGCCCCGGGCCCTTACCTCTGTGAGAGGGTCCCCCAAGCCCCATGCTTGTTGGTCAGGATGTTCAGGATCTTTTGCTTCAGCTGATTGGCTGTCACATGGTCCCGGTGCTTGGCGGCGCTGATCAGGTGCTCACACATCTTCTCCTCCTCCTTCCTGTCCGCCGCATACTGGGCACAGTTCGACTACCAGTGGGGGAGGGGGGGGGAGATTGCATTAATGGGTAAAAGTGTGTGTGTGTGTGTGTGTGTGTGTTATTTAGATTTTTTTGGGGACTATTTTTTCAAAGATCTGTGAATGTAATCAAAAAAAGTAGAAATGTCAAAAGTCTCGTATTTTGTTTAGTTACTTATGGTTGAGGCTAGGGCTGGGTAGGGGTTAGGGTTGTCATGTTGGGATTAAAGTAATCTCTATTGTAATGAATGGAGAGTCCCCACAAAGATATAATTACAAAAGTGTGTGTGTGTGTCGATCAAATAAAAAAAAAGCAAACAGATTAACCGTGAGGTCCTATAAACCGGTATGATTCCTTTTGGATATGAAGATACTCTGGCTAAGCCAATAAAGGCAATTTGCCTGCATTTACATGTGAGTTGGGGGGTAAGGCCTTCTTGCTCCCCTCTGACTCACACAAAGAGGCTTGGGGGGGGGGGGGGGCAGGTTTTAGGAATTAGGTGAAAGGGACACGTTAGATAAATATATAAAAACTAATACTTTGGAGGCGCAAGACAAGCGTCAGGCAGTAAATCAAACCACCAACAGGAAGGTAACAGGAAAACTGTTAAGGAAACTGCACTCGCCAAGGTTAATGAAGTGCAGGGGACCGGCAGGGCGGGAATAAATACGCGCCGCAAAAGCTGGCAGCAATTATCATCAATTTCACTTTAAAAAAGGAAAAAAAGACACAGGAATCAGTCATTTACTCGCTGCTATTTAGCCGATCCAGCAACTAGGATATAATAAAAGAGGCAGCTGGTTAACTATATACGAGGGCGGCAATATTATCTATTTGTCATTATTACCTTGAACCTGAGCACTGTGGGGTCATTCATCACGCTTAAGGTGGGGAATGTCCCATCAGCCATTTAGGGGAAACGTCCACAAAGAGCCGGACACTTTTCTTAGGAAATGACCACCGTGCGGTGGGGGGGGGAGTAGGGGTGGCATGAAAATACAACAGTGTGATTTTTACATGACCTTTGCGGAGGCAGCCGGAGGCTTTGAGGTCCCCAGTCAGAGGAAAGGTAATCTCGCCTGGCACATGTGAGCATCTCCGCAGCTGAAATAAGATTGTCTTACTGCGTGGCCTGGGGGGGATTCCACCCCCCCAATATTCAAAATCTAATTTGCTAACAGTAGCTGAAACTTAATTGAATTTCCTGCTTTATATTTGAATTCTGTCAGATACGGTACCTCGGCGGATTCTTCAAATGGTAGATAACTCAATCTCCACTTGTCATCTTCAGCGCGCCGAATATCAAACATTATTTATCACTTAAAGGCACACGGGAGCTCGCCAGCGTCATCGTAAAAACATCCTGACTGCCTCCCCCTCACGGCAGGGGGCGCTGTCAGATGACGAACGCCTGCTGTCACAGGGCAGCGGATTGGACGGCCCCCATCCCCATTAACCAATAACCTCCCTGCACATCTCTCCCGGTTTATCTTGCGGGGTCAAGGGTTTCCGGAATGATCATATCGAGACGCTGCTTGCAGAGGGCTGTGCCTGCCAGATAAAAACCTCATCACTCCTCGTCTCTGTCAGCTTGCAGGGGACCCGAGCTGAGCTCACAGATGGTGTAGTGTGTGTGAGAGACAGGAGCTTGTGTGTGTGTGTGTCGCTCTGTGTGTGTGTGTGTGTGTGTGTGCGTGTGTGTGTGTGAGAGAGGGGCTTTTGTGTGTGTGTGTGTCTCTGTGTGTGTGTGTGTGTGTGTGTGTGCGCGTGTGTGTGTGAGAGACAGGAGCTTGTGTGTGTGTGTGTCGCTCTGTGTGTGTGTGTGTGTGCGCGTGTGTGTGCGCGTGTGTCGCTCTGTGTGTGTGTGTGTGTGTGCGCGTGTGTGTGCGCGTGTGTCGCTCTGTGTGTGTGTGTGTGTCGCTTTGTGTGTGTGTGTGTGCGTGTGTGTGTGTGTCGCTCTGTGTGTGTGTGTGTGTTCAGACACACACAGTGTCTGACTATACGAAGAGCCAACTTAATTTCATTAACGTCCAAAATCCCCACTGACAAAAATTGAAAATTCCTTTTTTCTGCCACTTCCAGATTGAAGAGCATATTGCTTTAATTGAGGGTTAAATTTCTCATGAACTCCCCCCCCCCACCATTTCTGTGTCAGTGTGTGTGTGTGTGTGTGTGTGTGTGTGTGGGGGGGGGGGGGTGGGTCTAGGGAGGCCCAGACCCCCAGATTCCATTAGCGGCATGCCTGCTTATTAAATCTCTGCATTGTCAGCTAATAAATGGGCCCCAACAGGAGAGAAGGGAGGGATTACAGAACAATCAGAGGATCAGAGGAATGTCTCAGAACGCATCTGCGTGCGATCCCACCACCCCACTGTCTGCATGTGGGCTCACTGAACTCCAGCAAGGTAAGGGGGCACAACAAGGAGAGGACAAAACAGATGTTAGTGAGAAGGAAGTCAGGAGACAGGGGAATGTTGGGTAAATATCGATTCTTGAGAATTGTGTGCCCTTCATATCTTGTGGTGGTGAACCTCCGCAGGACAGGATCATTAAGAAATACCGAAATGGGAACATTTTACGCACTAACTGTGTGAAGAAGCCTCTCCATGGGGCAGGAATGAGTACTGGGACGTGCCTGAATGGCAATAGCATATGCCAGTTAATCACTGAGGGGGGTCACCCCTCAGAGGTGGGGGGACGACTCATCCCCAGAGGTGAGCTTGGGGGGAAGGTCAACCTTAGAGGTGAACGTGGGGGGGTGATGGGTCATTTCCAGAGGTAAGTATGGGGGGAGGTTTATCCCTGGAGGTGAGCATGGGGGAGCTTCCCCCCCACGCGTAAGTCCCATGGTACACACTTAACAGCTGGCCTGATGTGACGGTTTAGCGCTGGGTGCCAGTCGGCCGGGACCCACCTCAAACTCGGCGTGCTTGTGCACGTCCTCAGCGCGCTGCCTGTTCAGGATGAACTCGGCCTCATTGGCCACGCGCACAATGTGGTCCTTCATGGCATGGCACAGGAGTCTAGAAGGGAAGCGGAGGTACGGGGGGGTACGGGGGGGGGGGGGGG